CAAGCCGGTCATCGTGGTGCACGGGCTCTTCGACAGCTCGTACAGCTTCCGCCACCTGCTGGAATACATCAACGAGGTCGGTGGGGACGCTGGCCGAGGGCTCTGGAGGTGTCTGCGGTGCCTGGGGGGGCGAGTGGGTGGCTGAGAGCCCGCTCGGCCTGCCGGTTCCTGATGCTGGTGTGGGGCGAGCCGGGAAGGGACTGTTGTTCTAGCGGGCACAGTGGGCCTGGGGCTGGGCTGCATGGTCGGTCCCCAGTGGTTGCATTGCCTCCTTCCTGCAGACACACCCTGGGACTGTGGTGACCGTGCTCGATCTCTTCGATGGCAGAGAGAGCTTGCGGCCCCTGTGGGAACAGGTGCAAGGGTTCCGGGAGGCCGTGGTCCCCATCATGGAAAAGGCTCCTCGAGGGGTGCATCTCATCTGCTACTCCCAGGGTAGGCAACCCCCTCTCCTGACTGCAGAGCCCTACCTGAGGCTTGCTCCTTACCTGAGGATACTCTCGCCTCTCCCTTTCTGAACCAGAGCCTGGGAACTGAACCCTTTTCTTCTGACCTGCTTCAGCACCTGAGTCTCTTCTCTCTGTGTCTCGAAGGCGGGGGGAAGCTCCCAGTCTTGCAGCTCCTTTCCCCTTTCCCCATGGTTCTTGAATCTAAGGGTAGGACCGGTGGGGCAATTAAGAGCCTCCTGGAGAGCCCAGAATGGTGGTGCACGCTTGTAATCCCGGCACTCGGGAGGCTGAGGCAGGTGGATTGTGAGTTCAAGGCCCGTGTGGGCTGCATAGTGAGTTCAAGGCCAGCCTGAACTACATAGTAAGGCCCTGTCTCCTCCGAGAAAGGAAATTATTCACGTCAGGAACCTAGACTGTAATTCTGACTTTGTCACTTGGCTTTTGGCACAGGTGTGCCTGCATCCTCTGGCCTGTCTCCTCTTCTCTGTGTTCTGTATGGGAGGAAGGCAGGGGCTGTTGACCTGGTGTCCCCAGGTCCCTGCCCAGTGCTGGTGCTCTGTCCATAGGCGGTCTCGTGTGCCGGGCCCTGCTCTCTGTCATGGAGGAGCACAATGTGGATTCTTTCATCTCCCTCTCCTCTCCGCAGATGGGACAGTATGGAGGTTAGTGGGCTCTGTGGGCTCCACATCAGGCCTCAGGTCTGGGGGTGCCCAGAGCTTTGTGGCCACTTGGCCCTGCCATTCTCTTGCCAGACACCGACTACCTGAAGTGGCTGTTCCCCACCTCCATGCGGTCTAACCTCTACCGGATCTGCTACAGCCCCTGGGGCCAGGAGTTCTCCATCTGCAACTACTGGCATGGTGAGTGGGGTGCTGCCTGGGTCCTCGTGGAGAGGGCAGGGCGGAGGGCAGGGCTGCTGTCCCACCTCTGCCAAGGCCGGCCCACAGCGGTGACGACAGCACTCACTGTTTGAACAAGCTGTGTTCAGTGTGCTCTGTGGATATCTCTCATTGCTGCAGAGTGTGGTGTGATACAGGGTCAGCCTTTTCTGCACAGTGCCAGAGGATGACTAGTTTTGGCTGTGTGGGCCGAAAGCCACGGCACATATGTAAGGGAATGAGTGTGGGTGTTCGGTGAAAGTTTATGAAAACAATGGCCGGCTGGACTGGGCTCACTGGCTGTTTGCCAGCTTCTCGTGTGGGGTATAAGACAATGGTGCTGGAACCAGACCACTTGGGTTTGAAGGCTGACCCTGCTGGGTGACTTTGGGCGAGTCATGGAGCCGCTCCGTGACTCAGTTTCCCTCATCTGTAGAATGATAATCCAGCGTGTACCTCACTGGGATGTCCTGAGGATTAGTGGGCTTTGAACAGTACCTGATTCATAGTAGGTGCCAGATAAGAGTTTTCGGTCACATTTACAATTATTACTGCTTCTATTGTATCGCCGTCGGCCCTATGACTGCAGCCCCCTGCCTGGCCTTCCAGGCTCCAGTCTTGCTCCGTCTCTGTGTCTCTGACTGTCTGTCTAACGCTGTTTGTACCCAGACCCCCACCATGATGACTTGTATCTCAATGCCAGCAGCTTCCTGGCCCTGATCAACGGGGAGAGAGACCATCCCAATGCCACTGGTGAGACCCACGCCCCTCCTGGGTTTCCTGCCTGACTGGCCGTCTCTCTCCTGTCGGGCCTGACCTCCACGGCTGACTCAGTTTCTTTTCTTTCCACCCTGCAGTGTGGCGGAAGAACTTCCTCCGTGTGGGCCGACTGGTACTGATCGGGGGCCCCGATGACGGGGTCATTACTCCTTGGCAGTCCAGGTAATCAGGGGTGCATTGGCCGAAGCCTGGCTGGCCGCTCCCCATCTTTGCTGTCACCGAAAACCCCCAGCTCCTCTCACTGTTCGGTTAGCGCCCCACCACAGCCCTGTCCTGAACAAAAACCCTGAGAGTCCTAGGAACTGCCACTCTAGCCCGTCAGTCACTAACTCCCGCTTTACTGCCTCTCCGGCTGCCACCCCACTCCCTTTGGAGAAACTTTGTGTTTTGTTTTTGCAGTGCTGGGGAGTGAACCCGACCTTGTGTGTGCTGGGCAAGTGCTCTACCACCCAGCCCTTGCGTAAACTTTTGACTCTGATGCAGTGATGGGTTACGGGAAACCGCAGAGACGATGTAGACAGGTCCTGGGTACACCCTCGCCTGCTCTCCCTGCTGGCTGCACCTTCTGTAACTAAAGCACAGTATCGGAACCAGAGAATTGACCGGGATGGCGCATGTGACTCTGCTGTTTTATCGTGTTGCCTGCCACCTCTTTACTTACTACCCAGGCTGCTGTGACAGCCTCCAGCCCCGTCCACTGCCCTCCTCGTCAGGAAAACCCACAGCTCCCTGGTGCCCTTTCCTTGCCTCTGGACAAGAGTGATCTGAAATGTCACCTGCCTGCCGTATTCAGCAAATATTTATTGAGCACTGCGTGCCTGGGTGCCGTTCCGGACCCTGGGGTGCAGTGACCTGAGAGAAGTCCCAGATGGTAGGCAGTTTACATTTTAGTCGGGGAGAACCTAATTGCAAATATAGATGTCAGGTGGCAGTCAGAAGGTGGGAAGGGGATCAGAGGGTGAACTTGGGATCCTCTGGCTTCAGCCGCCCAGAGTGTCAGAATTACAGGCGTGTGCTACTACACCCCACACGGGATGGCGTTTACAGTATCCCATTTTGCATGTACAGCAGTCCTATGAATGGTAGTGACAACTCTAGAATATTTCCGTGCTCCAAGGCATAGTTTTTAAGTACATTTTATTGCTGGATGTGGTGGCCTATACCTGTAATCCCTGCAGTCCAGGAGGCTGAGGCAGGAGAATGGCAAGTTGAAGTCCAGCCATGGCAATTTATACTTAGATCCTGCCTCAAAAACAAAAAAATGAAAGAACAAAGATGTACAGTAGCTCAGTGCAGAGGCCCTAGGATCAAACCCTGGTACTGCCAAAAAACAGTACTTTTATATATTAGCTAATTTAATCCTCCTGACAACCCAATGGGACAATTTCCCCATAGAAAAATGGGATTAAATATCAGGCCTAGGGGCCGGGGATTTAGCTCAGTGGTGCCACTGTCTACCTCGAAAGTGCAGGGTCCCAGGTTCAATCCCCAGTACCAAAAAATAAATAAATATCTCACCTGTATTCAGATTAGTAAGCTGTGAGATCAAGCTGTCTGGCTCCTGACCACAGTGCTTTACTGCCTGTCCTGGACAGAGGTATTCTTAGATGGGACGAAGAGGGTAAAAGTCCGACATGCAAGAGGGAAGAGTGTGGTGGAGCTGGGGCTCAGAGCCAGGCCGGGGTGCCCCTCCCATGTCCCTGCGCCTGAAGCCCAGCTCCGGGCCTCCTCAGCTCCTCTTGTGCTCAGTGAATCTCTGCCCCTTGCCTGCAGCAGCCTTCCCTGGTCCCTAGGAGAATCTCTGCCCCTTGCCTGCAGAGCCTCCTAGGGAGCATTACTGATGCTTTAAAAACTAAGAGTAGGTCGGGCTTGGTGGCTCATGCCTGTAATCTCAGCACTGAGGAGGCTGAGGCAGGAGGATCGCTGTGGGTTCAAGACCAGCCTGGGCTACATAGTGAGTTCCAGGTCAGTCTCAATTACATAGTGAGAAACTGTCTCAAAAAAAAAAAAAGAAAAACCCAAAACCAAAATAGACAAACAAAAACTAAGAGTAGCCTCTCCCCTTTGTTCCTGTGAACTTTATTAGCATATTGTTCATTATTAGGGTGTTAGGGTTTGAACCCAGGGTCTAGAACTCCTAGCGACCCTCCTGCCTCAGCCTCCTGAGTGCTGAGATTACAGGCATGTACCATTATTTATGGCTTAAATACTTACTTTAAAAATTTTACTGCCTGGTATAGGGGCATATGGCTGTAATCTGGAGTATTCTTGGAGGCTCAGGCAGAAGGGTTGCTGGGAGTTTGAGGCTAGCCTGGGCTACATAGTGTGTTCAAGACTAGCTTAAATTACACAGTGAGACCCTGTCTCAGAACACCAAAAAAAAGCCAGGGATTTAGCTCAGTGATTCCAGTGCCTGCCTCGCAAGTGCAAGGGCCCAAGTTCCATCCCTGGTACCAAAAAAAAAAAAACTTTTTTATTTCAAAATGTCATTTTGGATTTTGGAGGCTGAGGATGTGGCTTTAGTGGCAGAGTACTTGCCTATCATGCTCGAAGCTCTGGGTTTCAACCTCAGTATATCACAGACAAAAGTTACCAAAATAGAACAAAGCATTGTCGTATGCTCTTCACCTAAATTTCCCAAATGTCAGCATTTTACCTTGTTTACAATAATGTTTTCTTTTTCCCTAAGTCATCTTCATTGACATATGTTGATATTTAATTAAATGTGTATGTTAATATTTTGTGTGACTTCCTTGAGAATAGTGTGCAGACAAAATATCTCTTAACAGCATAAGATGGATGTTCCTGAGTGTGGCAGGATGTATTTTCTTTTTTGGGGGGTACCGGGGATTGAACTTGGGACCTTGCATTTATGAGGCAGGCGGTAGCACCACTGAGCTGAATCCCCGGCCCAGGATGTATTTTCTATAAGTTAGACATTCAAACTGAGTGCAGTGGCTCACTCCTATAACCTCAGCTACTCAGAGGCTGAGGCAGGGTGATTACAATTTCAGTGCCAGCCTGTGCAGTTTAGTGAGACCCTTTTTCAAAATACAAAACCAAATAAAGGTCTGGGGATGTAGCTTAGTGGTAGAGAGCCCCAGGTCGCATCCCCAGTTCCACAAAAACAAAAAGCAACAAAACTCCAGAACACCAGACGTGGTGGCACCTGCCTGTGATCCCTGCACTTGGAAGGCTGAGGCAGGAGGATTGTGAGTTTGAGGACAGCTTGGGCTCCAAAGTGAGTTCAAGGCCAGCCTGAATTATGCAACATAACCCTGTTTTAAACAAACAACCCTGAGGGCCAGGAATTTAGCTCAGTGGTGCCTCCGCCTCCCTCGCAAGTGCAAGGTTCTGAGTTTGATCCTATTATTAAAAAAAAGCCCCAAAACCAAACAAAATAACCCACACAACCCTGAAAGAAACTTGCAAACAAACTCAGGACGTTGTTTCAGATAGATACATATGTTTTGGTTTTGCTTTTTTTTTTTTTTTTTGCAGTACCAGGGATTGAACTCGACCCTGTGCTTGCCAGGCAGGTGCAGTGCCACTGAGCTACATCACTGGCCCAGTACAATACAATTTCCTTTTCCTTTTTGGTACTGGGAATCAAACTCAGGACCTTGTGCTTGCGAGGCAGGTGCAGTGTTAGCTGAGCTAAATCCCTGACCCTACAATACAGTTTTCAAAAGTGGGAAGTGAACATTGAGACTCTAACCTGTCATTGTTATTCACAGTGTTTCTGATGGTTCTTATAGAGAAAAATACATCCAATGCAAGATCAACTCAGGGCCACAGGTTGCATTTAGTGTGCTTTAACGTGCAATTGCCCTTCAGTGTTTCTCCCTAACTGAGTTTTTGTAGTACCGAGATTGAACCCAGGCCTTTGTACGGAACTGCATCCCCAGCCCTTTTTTCAGTTTTTTGAGGCAGGGCCTCACTAAGTCCCTGAGCTGACCAGGATCAAGAGTGCCAACCCTGGCCAAACCAGTTACTTTGCAGACTCCGTTTGGGTTTGCTGAGCATTTCCTCTGGATTAGACTGAGGCTGGCGGTTGGGTGGGGCTTTGTGGAGGTGCTGCTGTATCCTCAGGACCTGGCTGGGAGAGGGAAGTTTCCCAGCCGCTTTTCGTCTCCCGCTAACCTCCCCCAATCTCTTTGTAGCTTCTTTGGTTTCTATGATGCCAATGAGACAGTGTTGGAGATGGAGGAGCAACCGGTGAGCCCCTTGGGATCCCTCCCTTCTTTCTCGCCCCGTGCCCCTCTCCTCCGCGTTGAGCCTGTGGGGCGGAAGCACGGGTTGCCGGTGGGCCCTCACTCGGTCCCCTCCCCCGCCTCGAAGGTTTATCTGCGAGACTCTTTCGGGCTGAAGACTCTGCTGGCCCGCGGAGCCATAGCGCGGTGTCGGATGGCTGGGATCGCCCACACGGCCTGGCACTCCAACCGCACCCTTTATGAGACCTGCATCGAGCCCTGGCTGTCCTGAGGACCCGGGGCTGTCAGGAAGTCCCAGCCCAGAGACTGAGCGAGCGGTGGCCTTGGAGGGCAGACGCCGGGCTGTGGCAGCCCAGTGACCGTCTCGTTGCCCACACTGCCCCCCGCCAGCCGGGGCTCCCAGAACCCGCCTCTGCTCCTCTCTGAACCACAGTTCCTGGCACGCCTACCTCATGTCCACTCTTTGGGGGCAGCTCGCTGTACCCCCTTTCCCCCAAGGCTGAGGTTAGGAAGTGAGAGCCAGGTTTTAGCTGGTGATTGCCCCTGCCGCTGCTGCTCTGCTCCTCCGTATCTGACTGTACAGGAGGCGAACCCACCCCTGCCCTGGTACCACAGGGGTCTCCTTCCGGGCCACTCAGGACATTTTTAGCTTCTGTTCTCCCCGTGTTCCCTTTTCCTCAGAACTTCCTTGTCAGCCCTCGCGACCTGTGGAGCGGCGCCCGGGAGCGTGGGGTTCTGAGGCTCCCCTATGGGGACAGTTACGTTCAGTGTCAGTGTTGGGGAATATCTGTGGCCTGTGAGGCCCATCTCAGGTTTGGGGATCCCCCAGTCCCTATGATCAGTGTTGGGGTTCCCCCTGGGAGCCTAGTTTGAGGCCCCAGCCCCTTTTAACCCTTGAGTGGGTGTTCTCCTATATTTATGGAAATAAAGCTCCGTTTCCTCGGTGTGGCTTGGCTTATTTCCAGGTGAGCGGACCTGGGCTCCCCGAGGTGGGTGGGGGTGGAGAGAGTGGGGCCTGGGTGCCCGGATGCCTGGTCTGGGGTGGGGACCCCCTTGGTGCTTCCGTTCTCTCAATGCCCATTCTGTGCAGGTTCCTGGTTCTCTGCGGGTTCTTTCCTGCTACAGACAATTCTCTTCCTGTCCCGGCTTGAGGGTTAGGGGGCCGAACCCGGGGCTCTACTGGTTTGGCCCTCAGCACTGTGGGTGGAATGCACCGGCTACCCTCAGGCCAGACGAGGGGGCTGAGGGTCAGGGTGGGCATTTGCTGTGCCCCTTCTTGACCTTTGTGGGCCAGAGCCGAGTGAGGGGCTATACAATGAGCCTCCTTTTCCTGGAAAGAAGGAATTTTGGTGGAGACAATAGGGCCCTGTCTGCTGTGGCATGGGGGGCGGTGGCTGACTCACTCTGTGTCCCCCAAGCCCTAACAAATGTCATCAAGAGATGGGGCAATTTTCCCCTGGGTGCCACAGCCGCTGCCCTTTTGTGCAGGTCCTCTGGCTCTCCTGCCCTGGCTCCTGCCCTGCTAGCCCTTGCCCTCTAACTTTCCGGCAGTCCGTATGGTAGGGAAGGGTCAGGGGTACTGGTGGTATTCAGAGCTGGGTCCAGAGTTTGGGGGTTTCTGGGGGCTGGGAAGCGTCTCCAAGGGAGCCCTTTACTGCAGGGGGTGAGGGCAGTGGGACCTGACCCGGCTGAGCCCACCAGGCTGGAGCTGAGAAGGACGCTTGTGGGAGGGGGCAGGAGCTGGAGGACTCCTCTGGCCCAGCCCCTCCTCTCCTTCCCAGCCGGCGGCCCACCCTCCAGTCTCTCCAGTCTGAGCTGGCAACTGCTGAGGCTGGGCTGCCTGAAGTCTCCAGGTCTCCCGGAGAGAGGGGAAGCCAGGTGGGAAGACGGGGAGGGGAAGCCAAGTGGGGAGAGAGTGTCGGTGGCCTTGGGATCTGTGAGCTGGGAGATGTCCTCTGACCGGTGCTCATCCAGCAAGCGGGTGATGTGTGGGTCTGAGAGGGCAGTACAAAGGTGTTTAAAGTGTGAGTGATCCCAGCACCGGAGGCTGAGGCAGGAGGATCAGTGTGACCTTAATGTCAGCCTGGGCTACATGGTGAGACCTTGTCTCAAAAAAAAAAAAAAAAAAAAAAAAAAAAAAAAAAAGAAATGGTGAAAAATTTTAAAAAAAAAAAAAAAAAAAAAAAAAAAAAAGAAAAGTGTGGAGGCTCTAGGTGCTTGTTGAGACATTGTGAGTGATATGTACGTTTTGAAAGTAGGAAGATTAACTTATAGGGGTTGTGTTCAGGAGACTGAGCCCTGGGATGGAGCAGATCCCTGGGGATGGATGGGGTGGTGGAGGGTGCTGGGGTGTGAGGCTGCAGGAAGCTGAGTGGATCGGTTAAATGCACACGCAGGTACAGGCACTTCCGGGCAGGGTGGAAGAGTGGATGTATGGACTCCATCAGGGCTGGGGCTGGAGGCGTTGAGAGCAGGGGGGCGCCCATTAACCTCTCTTCTGCAGCCCACAGCATGGAGTCCCCGAGAATCGTGGGGCCCTGGGTTGAGCTGCGAGCTCTCTTAGGCGGACTCTCTTTCCTCCTGCTGCTGCTGTCAGGCCAGGGGGCCAAGGGTGCCTCCCTCAAGGAGAGGTGACAGCTGAGGGGGGTCCTGGGTGATCCTGGCGGTGCTTTCTGCTGGGGGAGGAGGCGGCCCGCAGGGCCTCGGTGGCTGCTCGGGAAGTGGGACCCCTGGCTTCCAAAGGCCTGGCCCATTCAATGTCTCCCACCTCCTCTTCCGACGTGGATGCAGACAGGGGGTCTGCTCCAAGCAGACTCTGGTGGTCCCGCTGCGCTACAATGAGTCTTACAGCCAGCCAGTGTTCAAGCCCTACCTGACCCTGTGTGCCGGGAGGCGCGTTTGCAGCACCTACAGGTGAGGGAAGGGAGCTGACATCAGGAGTCTCTCACCCTCACCCACCCCAACCTCGACAGAACCTGCATGCGGGGCCCTGAGCCTGGCCCTGGGTTCTAGGACCGTGTACCGCTTGGCCTGGCGGGAGGTAAGGCGCGAGGTGCAGCAGACCCATGCCTTGTGCTGCCAGGGCTGGAGGAAGCGACACCCAGGGGCGCTCACCTGTGAAGGTGAGACCAGGTCTTCTGGAGAGTCAGGTTGGTGAGTCGAGTCGGGAGCCAGGTGGGGGGTTAGGGTCTGAACCCTCTTCCACACCCATCTCCAGCCGTCTGTGCCAAGCCCTGCCGGAACGGAGGAGTCTGCATAGGGCCAGACCAGTGCGAGTGTGCCCCCGGCTGGGGCGGGAAACACTGCCACGTGGGTGAGTTGGGGTACGTGCAGGGGGCCCTCCATGTGCCAGGGCCTGCCCCAGCCCTCTGCTCTTCCCCTCCTGTAGACGTGGATGAATGCAGGACCGGGATCGCCCTGTGCTCACACCGCTGTCTCAACACGGCGGGCAGCTTCACCTGCGGCTGCCCTCAAGGCCAGGTGCTGGGTCCTGATGGGCTCAGGTGCGCTGAGGGCGCCCCAGGGCGCCCCACTAGCGCCAGCATCCTCAGTGTGGCAGGTGAGTGTGGGCCAGGGATTGGCAGCTAGGGCCGGGCTGGCGCCTGGGCAAGGTCACTTTCCCCGGGGCTGTGTCCTAGTCCGGGAAGCAGAGGAGGAAGGCAAGGAGAGCTCCCTGAGGCAGGAGGTCGGTGAGCTACGAGGGCGCCTGGAGCAGCTGGAGCAGGTGAGCCAAGCCAGGACCAAGCTGCGGGGCTGGGAGCCTGCACTGCCCCACCACTGCCACCGCCCTGAGCGTTTGCACCTCGCAGTGGGCCGGCCAGGCTGGGGCCTGGGTCCGTGCAGTGCTGCCCATGCCGCCTGAGGAGCTGCAGCCCGAAAAGGTGGCGGAGCTGTGGGGCCGGGGTGACAGGATCGACTCTCTCAGCGACCAAGTGCTGCTGCTGGAGGAGAGACTGGGCGCCTGTGAGTCCCTGTCACTCTGCGGGAGGGAGCTTCCCTGGGCTGCATCTCGCTGACCCCGGCCTGCTCCGGCTCCCGGGCCCTGCCTGCTTGTTAACCACTCCTTATTAATCAGGCTCCTGTGAGGACAACAGCCTCCACCATGGATAAGAGGCCTCAGCAGCCCCTCCTGCTAACATACAGAAACCACCGACTAATTCCTGGGATTGGCAACTGGAGTTGCAGATAGAGCCATCCAGATCAAGGGACAGGGAGCCACGGTGACCCTGGCAGCCAGCCTGCTGCCCTGGGCAGGCTGTCTGGGCCAGGTCCGCTTCTTTAGCACTTAACAGACACAGCCAGGAGACACCCACTTTCTCTCTCTTTATTCTGGGCTGCCTGCTGTCATCCAGATAATTAATAAAAATCAACCACACAAAACTGAGCCCCCCTCTCCTTTGCTCCCAGCCTACCTCCCCAGTCACGGAAACAGGACTGGAGGCGGGGGCGGGGGGAGCGGCCAACGCCACTTCCAGAAATGAAAACGTTTGAGGGGGAAGCCTCAAAACAACGAGAAATAAATTAAATGCCCTCTTTTCCCCTCTAGCCAGGGTCCAGGGAGCGGTGAGCACAGCGCCCGAGGTCTGCCTTTCCCTGGGTCTGGTTAGGATGCTGCAGGGGCTGCGTAGGTCCGGACCGCGGAGGACTTGTACCACGGTGCAGGGGAAGCAGGAACTCAGAGACCCAACTGGCATCCAGGAGTGTGCCCGACCCTGGGCGTCTGGCAGGGGTGGGGATGAGAGCTCTGAGTGAGAAGAGTCCAGCCCACTGGGGGGCTCCCCGGGAGGGCGTGTGGAGGTGCTGAGGCCCAGGCATGCGCCTGTGCTCCTCCCACACTGACGGGACGGTGCGAGTCCACGGCTCGGGGGTGAGGGGTGGACCGGTCCACAGAACGCATGAGTTCACTGGCAATGAGTGGAGAGGGTGAGGACGCAGGGGACTCCTGGGGAGCGTCCCCCAGCCTCCCGACGCATGAGCTGCTCCAGATGAGGGCGGCCACGCCACAGACGAGACGGCGGGAGGCGGGGTCAGAGTGGAGGGAGGGAGGGGACTGTCCAGGTTCACTTCAGAAGACCAAAAGAGAGCAAGGGGGAGGAGAGAGGAGAGGTTGGCCTCCTCTGGGCCGCTGGGCTGGCAGGGTGAGGAGGAAACAGGGAGAGGGAACTCAGAGCCCCGCCTCGCCCAGTGCCCTGGGCTTCTTCACACAGTCGCCGCCTCCCCGGCCATCGGTGGAGATTTCCCGGAAGACGGTGAGCATGGAGTGCCGGACTCCATCGGCGAGCGCTGGGACGTCGTCTGGCGTCAGTCCTTCTGTGGGCACTGGGGGCAGCACCCGCACCTGACACCGCCCTGGTGCGACAAGAGGAGAGGCACCATCAGGGCCGGCTGGCCTGTTCTCCTTCCTCGGGTCTCCAGCCTTGTGCTTCCTGCTGCTCCCCCAGGCCTCTTCCCGACCCTGCGCCGTGCCCCCTGCTAGCCAGCTGTCTCATTTTGAGCCCTCCTGTCCAAAGCTTCCCCAATCCCCGCCCAGAAACCTCCTGCCCACCCCTCTGAGCCCCATTCTCTGGGCCCAGCAATTCTTGCTAAGTGTTATTCATTACAGCTTCGCACATGGCTTAACTTTCCTGTTAGACTGTGTCAGCCCCTCCTGGAGAGACCAAGTACTGCCCATCTAGCAGGTATATTGGGTGCTTACTAAGTGCTTAGTGGCTGATGTAGGGTCAGACTAGACCGTAAGGACGTCTTCCAGCACTGACCCAAAGGGCGCTGCTTCACAGGGACCCTCCCACCTTTCTGGCCACACCCTGCCCCACGCGCTCACAGCCCTCACCCGAGGTGAAGCGGCGTTCTTTCTTGCAGTAGAAGTCTTGATAGGAGGACATGACTATGGGCACAATGGGAACCTGTGCGGGAGAGAAGGCCGATCAGTCCGCACCGAGAGAGGGAGGAAGGGCAGGGGCAGAGGGCTGAGCAGCAGACGGGGAAGCAGCAGTCACCTGGGCCTGGACTGCAAGATGGAAGGCCCCACGTTTGAAGGGCAGCATGGAGCCGTTGTGGTTTCTTGTTCCTTCAGGAAAAACCCAGACTCTCACCTGGGGGAAGAGTCCAAAGAGGATTTGGGTACGCAGGGGTCAGAGTGGATCAGTGAGATCAGTGCGTGTACAGGGGTTCCACTCCCTAGCTCCCCAAGCCAAGTGCCCAGGTGACTCACGTCCTGGGTGAGCAGTGTCTGGGCGACTTCTGACATGACACTGATGGCGTCCCCCGTACGCTTCCGGTCGATGAAGATGACTCCGGCCAGCCAGCAGGCCAGCCCGGCAGAGCCTGCCCACAGCAGCTCGCGCTTGGCAATGGGCACACAGCGGCCTGGCAGCACCTCCATCATCCCTTGGGCAGGGGTGGAGGCGGGTAGGGATTAGAGCGGGGACACAGTGTCACAGCAGAAAGGGCACCCCACTAAGGTCATCACCCACACCAGTAGGGACTGGAAACAAAGGGAAGACACTGGGTTGAAAGAGCCCAGAGTGAATGAAGGGTGACTGGAGATACAGGTTCCCGGCTCAAGTGGGCAGCTCTCCCTGAGGAGGAGCGAGAGTGCCGAGGGCACAGCGTGGCTTGGGCCCTGTGCCCCCAGCCGGGTCTCACCAAGCAGGTCCAGGGAGCTCTGGTGGTTGGAGACCACGACGTAGGGCTGCGAGGGAGGGAAGTGGTGAGTCCCTCGCACCTCCACTCGGATCCCGTACAGATATTTGATATGGAGCAGCATGAGACGCAAGATCCTGCGGGGTCAAGACAAGGGGCACTGAGGGACCCACTGTGTCGGACTGCAGGCCCCACGCACCACCCCCTGCCCCTTTCCCGGCCGTCTGTGCAGCCCCGCCTATCCCCAGGCTCCTCTGTTCTCTTCTCATGCACCCTGCCACCGCCTCACCCCGTTGCCCCTCACTTCATGTTCTCCACGTTGCGTCCTCGCACGGCACACACAGGGATGGCGAGCACAGCCAGGAAGAGGATCCAACCGTTGTAAAAGGCCATCTTGAAGAAGTACTTGGCACTGGGGGTGCAGAACCACAGGGTGGGCAGCAGGAGCAGGAGCAGCAGCAGCAGCAGCAGCGGCACCGTCCATGCCCCGGGCCACAGCTCCATTCTGGCCACCTGTGGGTTCGGGGCCAAGGACAGAGGCCTGGTTTCTACTGGGCAGTGGCACAGGGCAGGGCCCTGTGGGAAGGAAGCTCGTGGGATGGGGAGCACCTCCTTGGGGGTTCCTGGCACAGTCAGAGGTAAGAAAATCACAGGGCAGACACCCACAACTCGCACATATGTGGTAATAACACAACACGAACAGGACAGCTAGTGACTGCAGTGGCAAAGAGTCTCACAGTAGTCTATAAACTGTCCGACAGCCACATGTGGCAATGAGCACCTGCAACGTGGCTGGCCCACAGGGAGGTATGCAGGAAATGCAAGATACACATCACAAATTAGACTGGATGAAAAACAAAAATGTAAACTATCCCACTAATCTTTTTTTTTTTTTGGTTTTTTGAGACAGGGTCTCACTGTGTAATTGAGACTGTCCCGGAACTCACTGTGTAGCTCAGGCTGCTCTCAAATTCACAGCGATTCTCCTGCCTCAGGCTCCCGAGTGCTGGGATTATAGGCATGTGCCACCACGCCTGGCTAATCATCTTTTATATAGATTTCTTTTGGATATACTGCATTCCCTAAAGCCTATTATTAAGATTAAATTGTTTCTTTTTACCTTTCTCAATGTAGTTACCAGAAAATTAAAAATTATACATGTGGTTCAATTCTGCTTCTACTGAGTAGTGCTGGTCTATCTATCTCCATTAAGCCCTTACACCTAATCCAAATGATAATCTATTAGAAGTACTATTAGCATTTAACATTTTACAGGAAATACGCTCAGAGAGACTAAGGAACTTACTTGAGGTCATCCAGACGCCAATCGGCAGTTTCCACACTGAGCCTAGGCAGCCTGGGCACCTAAGCCGCTGCCGTGCTGTCACCTGTGAGTGCATGTAAATGTGCGCTCAAGGCAAATATACTCACTGACAGTGACGGAACACCCACTGACGCCCGAGGGACAAGTGGCAAGAATAATGCTCACATTGTCCATGCAAACAAACACACTCAGTCATGCAAAGACCGACACGTGTTCACACACACACATTTACCAACAGTGTCTTAGAAAGGATCATAAACACGTACCTAGAAAAGTCCCTCTCCCCTCAAGGCAGCCTCTTCCATCCTCAGATACCTTGCCCCCATCCTATTTCATCGCCCTCCTAGCCATAGGGTGGCAACGTGGCCAGGCAGGTAGAGGGAAGGCCTCCTCACATGGGATGAGGAGGCAGAGAATGAAACGAACATCACACCACCGACTTGGCTCCAGAAGAGGAAAACAGGTGCTGAAGAGGTGTGGGCAGCAGAACCTGCCTTCCAGGTTCTGCTTCCTTCCTCCCTCCTGGGCAGAGGGTCACAGGTGAAGCCTGCGACTTACCGGGATGCTACTCCCTGGTAGGCCTGAGGTTCGTGAGAGGTGAGAGGTAAAGCAAGAGGTAGCGGAGGAAACCGGCCACGGCTCTCTGGGCTGCCCATCTCACTAGTCCGAAATTCAGACCCCAGCAAGTTTCAGTTTCCCCCTACTCGCCTTTCACTTTCTTGAACACAAACCTGAGCATTTCCCTGTCTTGCCCGAGGCCCTTTTGACGAGCTAACTTCTGTTTACATCTCCAACCACATCTCCTTTGCTGATTTCATGCTGCCACGCCTACAACACGCTTTCCCCTGGCCGGGGCGCACCCTCTCTGCTTCTTCTCTTGCCACCCTCAGCCCTGTTCTGGAACCCAGGCAGGCCTGTATTTTTCTGATAGTTTGTTGTTTCTGGCACCGGGGATTGATCTCAGGACCTTGTGCTTGCAAGGCAGGCATGGTGCCACTAAGCTAAATCCCCAGCCATGATAACCTTTGTCTCGATCAGTGGTGCTCAGGGTGTAAAAATACAAATTCTTGGACCTCACCCAGATAGACTCAATCAGAAATCCTGGGCATCAGGCCAAACAGCCCGTTCCGTAACAAACTGCAGGTGAGTGTTACTGCACGCAGGTTTAAGAAGCACTGCTAAGGACACCACCATACAGCACATGCCCGCTCACTGGCACCCACCGTCTGGGTGCCAATTGTGTGCAACTCGAGGACAGGGGCTCTCTTTTCTCCAATGCCAGGAGAAGGTAGACCAGGTGCTCAATAAACTCGGGCTGACCAGATTATAAGGCTGTATATGCACGCGCAGCCATCATCAATGACAGAGATAGTGGCTCTGATCATGAATCAGACAGCTATCCTCTCGAGAACCACTCACTGTGAAGTCACTAAGAAAATACTGAATGCGCCCAGCCCGTTCTGTGTGCACGTGCACGCACACAAAGCCACAGGGAAGGCAGAGTGACTTCACGAAGACAGGCGAAGAATGGTATCAAGGGGCCACCAGGGGAAGATGCTGCTGTCATCAAATATGGCCGAGAGTGCAAAGGATGGGGCACAATGTCACCAGGTTCACATCTGAGCTCTGTGACATGCACTGGAGCTGGTGGAGGTACAGTTTGTGCAGAGGGCCAGGAGGCCGCTGGCTAGGGCAGGTAAGGGTGGGCCCGTGGGGATTTGGGGACCAGGTTACTTTCTCTTATATGGAAATATTAAGGGAGCCTATCTGGGTTATGCTGATCCTGAATGTTTGAAATAAATGGTGGGCGTGACCAGAACACACGCACTACGGACCGGTCACATCAGCGCTTTCCGTGAATCTTCCTGTGGGTACACACGTAGTGAGAAGCCTAACTAGGAAAACAGGCCGGTCCAATCACCAGGTTGAGTCCTGTGCGCGCCGGGCCGGAGAAAGGCCTGCTGCCAATGGGGGCCATGGACACAGTATGTGAGGCCAAAGCAAATAAGGTCTGTAAGCTTAGCGTGCTAAAGTCAACATGCAAGAACAGACAACATGTGAGAAACATGAAGCCACATAACAGGTACAATAAAAAAACACACATGCGGTCCTCGAACATCTCCAAACTACACGTGAGTCAACATGGAAAACACAGCCCTCACAAGGCGACGAGATGTCTGTCAGCAGGGTCTAGGGAGGCCACTGAGAAACAAGAGGTTCCGTGCCTACAGGAAGCGGGTGCTTGAGGGCACTCCTAGGAAGCAATTCGGCTTCTCTTCTCGCCGCCCCCCAAAAGTCAATGGGGCCAAAGGGCAGGAAAAGCAACTGGGGAGCCTACGGAGAATTCCCTGTCCCAGACTCCCCGCGCACAGCCCGGCCCCGGCCCGAGTTCGCGTCTCTCCTCCCGTCCGCGGCTCTTCCATGCTTCCTCTCAGGCCCCTCTCCTTACCCGGCAAGCTCTCCCCGTCGGCCCTCCCAGCTCCAATCTCGACCGTCCCCTAGGCCACGTCCCTCCGGCACCCTCCGCCCTCCGCCTCCCACCCCGTTCCCGCCCACACCTCAGAGGAGC